CAATACCGAAGTTCAGTGTAACAAAGGAAAAATCTCAATCACTCAAAATGCTCTGATAAACTGTTTAAAAAATTATTTCACATCCCAAAATCACTTGCACTCAGTCCTGCACTTTGTATTTTCAATGTTCACAGGCAGCACCGGTTTTTTACACTCACTAGAACCCCGATGTTAACACATTTTCACTACGCGACACCCGACCGACCGTTCCACGCGCTGCCGCCGAACGACTGACTCCCCACTCAAAATGGCGCAGCGTTGGAGACAGCGCTCGAGTGGGGGTCGCCAGGCGATACTCCGCGCATGCGCACAGAACATCCTGCATGCGCACAGAAGACCGCGGGCAGTCTCAATTTGACGAGATAAGATAATAATTCTCTCTTAAAAAAAAACAGTGCAATCACGTAAAATCCAATAGTCAGTGAAAAATAATTGATTGAAGAGAATTTAGCGTGTGGATTTTCTTGATTAAGAATTATTTATATTTTTTTTTAGGCAAATATAAGGACGATCAATTGAAGCAAGTGTTTGAGACAGCGAATAGATATCATTTTTATCATTCCCTGGCTATGGTGGGGCTGGTTACGTGCAGGGCACCAATTCTGGTCAGTATTAAGACACATGATTCCATGAAAAAATTATTATTTATATTTATATTGAGTAAAAATACCTCTTCCAGACTGCTGCCCTGTGGATGTCAGGATCTCTGATGTTCTGTGGGAGTTGTTACTATTACGCATTCGCAGGTGACAAACGCTTCAGGAAAATCACCCCTTTTGGAGGTATTTGTTTTATTCTAGGATGGCTCACCATGTGCATATAAATAAATTAAGAGAACAAAAAAAGTATCCCCTCTTATGGAGTCGGCTACTACGATGCCGCTGGGGTCACTCCAACCCCCAGAACTGAGCCTCTACTTTAGTCAATCCTCTTTGGAGGGACCAGTCAACTGGGTGAATTTTATTTTATGTCTTACGAAATTGGTATTCACTGCAATTGAAAAATGAAAAATTTTCAAAAAAGTATCAGAGGAGCATAAAAATGGAGGAGGTATTCACTTAAATTTGAAATTTCGAAATTTTTCGAAAAGTATCAGGGGAGCATGAAAATCGAGGAGGTATTTACTGAAATTTGAAAATTCGAAATTTTTGAAAAAGTATCAGGAGAGCATGAAAATCAAGGAGGTTTTTACTGAAATTTGAAAAATTCGAAATTTTCAAAAAAGTATCAGGGAAGCATTCACTGAAATTGAAAAATTCGAAATTTTCAAAAAAGTATCAGGGGAGCATGAAAATCGAGGAGGTATTTACTGAAATTTGAAAATTCGAAATTTTTGAAAAAGTATCAGGAGAGCATGAAAATCAAGGAGGTTTTTACTGAAATTTGAAAAATTCGAAATTTTCAAAAAAGTATCAGGGAAGCATTCACTGAAATTGAAAAATTCGAAATTTTCAAAAAAGTATCAGGGGAGTATGAAAATCGAGGAGGTATTCACTGAAATTGAAAAATTTTAAATTTTCAGAAAATAAAATTCAACCAGTCGACTGGGCCCTCTGACAGCGGGACTACTACTGAGGCAGTTACCGAGTCGGCTGACGGGCAGACACCCCACCATTGGGGGCGGCCCCCTCTTTCTCTTGGGGTGGGGTATACCCCCAGAACTGAGCCCCTCAGTGGGGGTTTGAGTGACCCCACCGGCATTGTAGTACCTCACCCCGTGAATAGGAGGGGGCCGCACCCAATGGTGGGGTGCAGTAGCAGTCTCGCTGTCAGAGGGACCAGTCGACAGGGTGAATATTATTTCCTGCGTTACGTTAAGTGACTCCATAAAATCTTCAATTTCAGTGAATACCAATTTCGTAACGCAGAAAATAATACTCACCCTGTCGACTGGCCCCTCTGACATCGGGAATTACCGAGTCGGTTGAGGGGCAGACACCCCCATTGCGTGTGGCGCCCTCGTCTCTTGGGGTGCAGTACTACGATGCCGCTGGGATCACTCCAACCCCCAGAACTGAACCTCTACTTCAGTCAATCCTCTTTGGTGTCAGAAGTGGAAATTTACGTCATGCGCATGCGTCAGCCGTACATCTCATGATCCGGTAAGTTTGAATCAATGACATTGCATTCGTTAACTAGTTGTCAATAAAATAAATTACACTCGCAGTCTGTTTAATTTTCATGATTTTTCAAATCTTGCGGTGGATGTGTATGAGAGAAAAAATGAAAATGGGTTTGTGCACTGATAAGAGTGATATTATTGATTATTTATATATCCTTACAAACACACTTATAATTATTGAATTATTACAATTATTAAATAATTTGACTGAAGACCGGGCTTTTTGTCTTGCAAGTTATGAAAAGTTTAAAGACGTCTTTGGACTCGTCGGCCTTACTGCCAAAGTATTAGTACTAGTTTATTATAGAAGAGAGAATAATAGACTCGAAGAAATACTGTGGGGTGAGCACAGTTATTTTTAAAACAGAAAAAATAACATATACACTGAATAATAGTCACAATTATTCAATAAGTGCTATTCGTATTGACATAACTGTCCAGGCTAACTCGTCAATTGCAGTATAATTTAACGGAATTTCGATTGATAACCGATCAATTCATTCAGTTATTCGATAACGCCTCATCAGGATCTAGTGATTCAACTGCGACAGCTAGATCTAAATCGTGGAGGTAGGAAATTCCATTTAAGCCTGAGAAATTAATACCAATCGTAATTGTTTGAAAGATTTCCCCACCCCGCGCTTTATACAAACGAAACTGCGCGTGCGCAGTATTACCTCCACTCCGATCATACCCCAAACAAATGTAAATTGTTAATAAACATCTAACAATGCACTATCAATCATCGTTAATAATTGATTATAAATTTTCAAACGATTTCCTTTCGATGTGACAAAAAACTGAATAGAAAAAATTTTCAATAATTATCGGTTAACTAAATGGATGAAACTTTATAATTTGTTTATAATTCAATGATTAACTATCAAATATTAGGGAATGCACGTCAATCTTCGTCAAAGGATTAGTAATTGATCTGATACGTTTATTTATAAAAATTAAACATTGGTAGGACAACAACCATCCCAGAATGATGACATGTGGTTAGAAACGTAAAGACAATGTCAATATTCATCACTCGAATATCGAACAACATTGATTACTCCAGCAATTAGCTCAGTCTAGTTTGCAGTGTAATTGGGTGATGGATCCATGTGTTGTTTGTGGAGGTTTCGAGTTCTACACAGAATCCGGATTTTATTTTTGTCAACAATGTGAAACTCAACAGGAGGTAAACAAAAATGGAATTCCAATTCTAGTTTCAATGTACTCAGGAAATAATTATTATCTGCCAGTTAATAATTTATAAATTATAATAATATGAATAATTTTTATGGTTCCAAGTAGAATCTTAGTAATCACTAAATTTTGTCTTTTCCTCTAGGGGAATTTTTTATTTATTTATTTCTAATTGAATGATTATTCATTTCATTAGGGTAGACGAGAAGAAGTTGTCGAATATGCAGCTGATGCCTCGACTCATGTGACGAAGAAAAGAATCGATAGACGAACGAAAGTTAATAAAACAGGTGTACTTCGATAATCAATTGTTTAGATTTTTTTCGTTTTTGAAAAATTCTTCAAGATAAATTCGATGATCAACAATTTATAGCTGAAAAATTGAATTGAATCATGAGATGTGTTGAGATTTAAGGAATTGCTGATAACTTCTCATATTTCAGGTTTTTTGTAATTTTTTGGAAACCAATGATCATCTTGACGTGAAAAGATACCGTTTTTAGGTCTTCTAATTGTTTAATGACTCACAAATTTCTACAGTCGTCCGTTTACTTTTTAAAATTTTGGTAAAGCTTTGTGAATTTTTCAAAAGTTTACTGGGAACCTGGGGAAACTCTTTCAGGATGAAACTTCGTGTGACGCACTGAATAACATTTCTTAGAAATTCATAAAAAAAAGACTTGATAAATCAGAAGATATCAGCAATATTTAATTAACCCAACGAATAATTTCTCAGAAACCTCCCTCGGCTGGACGTCCTGGGAGTCTTTCAACTTCATCCTCAACGGTTGGACGAATGAATTACTGATTTTGGGAGCCTCTCCAGAATTTAAAATAACAGTCCTTCAGTTATGGGCGACGTACCTAGGCAAATTACAAGTGGCATTCCGGTCATTCAAGGAGCGTTGTCTGCCCAGGTTGCCCCTCTCCTACCGGCAGAAAGATAGTGAAATTGTGTTTGGTGTTGTTCCCTCGAAGGTAAAAAAGAGGAAGAGAACCCCATCCAATGCGACCTCAGACGCAGAATCCACCCAGGCCAGTGAGATGAGCTTCGGTCGACTGCTGTCCCAGAGGAGGAAAAAGTTGGTTGATCTAGAGTACCAGAAGTACCTGGACACCAGTGAATCGGAAACTGGTGGTGCCAGTTCAGTCAATCAGAGCCTCCACAGCATCAAATCCGATGTTCTAAAGGCCAAGAGGAAGAAGGTGCCTCTTTACTTTAATTCTTTCGCAAGAGCACATAAGAAGAAAGTCACGAAGGACACTAGGAAGATTCCGAGGAAGAGACATGCCATCCTTCGGCAGGCGAGACTTGACAGACACAGGAAGACTGCTGAGCATCTCACGATGCAACATGTCATGGCGGTCATCAATCTTGCCTTGAGAGTCAATGATGAGAAGATTTTTCTCAGTGACATTTTAAGGTGATTATTCTTCGGAAAATTGCAACTAATAACGGAATTTGTACTCAGGTTTCTCAGTCATTACTAAAGAATTAAACGAACGATTAATACAGCTAACTTATTTTCAATAGATACAATTTACTAGAAATTCACGAGTTTTCGAAATCCTTTATTTTTTATTCATCATTTTGATGAATGTCAATTTGTTTAGAATCGATAATTGTGTATTAATGATTGAGGATTCTCCGAAATAGGATATTTTAATCAATTAACCGTTGATGTCAAATATATTCGCCTCGCAGATTCCAGACAGAAGGACACATATCAACGAAAAAATTGGATCATTTTTTCCCAGAAGACGAGCCAATACCCAAAGATTTATCGAATTGCGGGAATTCTCCCTCGAAATACGAGAGTCTCTGGGTGGCGACCAGTGAGCTGGCTCATCTACTGGAAGTTTCAGAGATCCCGGAGCCTAATATCGTCGAGCTGATCCGACGATACTGCACAGACCTGCAGTTACCAAGTACATTCTAAAATACTTTCTCATTGAACAAAATCCATTATGTTTTTTCATAGGAAAGGTAAATCCTTCACCTAGACTATTTAACTTACAGCGGGAATAGCTCTATATGCTGAGAGGATGATTGCCCTGTCACCCCCGAAGCTTACCTTCGAGTCCTGGAATCGTTACATGCCACGTTATGAGGCAAAAGCCATGGCAGCTATTATAATGGTGATGAAAATTTTATTCGGATTAGACGGAGTCACAGAATGCGAGATATCACACGTGATTGACATAATTAATCAGTAAGTTCTAAAGGTGTAAATATTTTGAATTTCTAAAAAATGTTCATAAATTGAATCTTATTCGAACACTATTCACACCCCTGACAAGTTCCCTTCTTTTGTTCACAACCTCCCAGACAGTTAAATTCCAACTAAACAAGTAAAAAAAATTTAAAAATCAGGCTGGAGAGCAATTAACAAGAAATCGACTTGACTCACCAAATCACCGGATCCAATTCATGAAGTCATTCAATTGAATGAAGATAAATTTCAATAAAATGAACTCAAAATCCCCCTGCATAATCGTTCACGGGGGCATCACGCACGCTAACGATCCCTGGATAATGGAAAAAATCTCAGCAGTTGTAAAATCAGCATCTCGTGGCTACAGTTCTCTGATATCCAACCAAAACGCTGTGGACGCTGTTGAAGACGCCCTGTGGTGGCTGGAGAACGACGAGTTCTTGAACTGTGGGTATGGCTGCTCTCCGAATGATCAGGACCTGGTGGAGATGGACGCCAGCATGATGAATGGCACTACATCCCAGTCGGGCACAATCCTCTGTTTAAAAGACGTGGAGCACCCCATTTCCGTTGCTCGATACGTCATGGAGAATTATAGCAATAAAATATTCTCCAATGAGTTGATGAAACGCATGAAGAACATCCCGAGGTTTTGGATGCCTCCAGGGAATATGGATCCTGTCAGCGAACGAGATAATGAAGTAAAAAGTAAATAAAATTATTTATTAGTTTCCAAATACATGAAGGAATAAAAATCACGATGAAAATAGATTTGAAAAAATAATTCAGTGAAATGAATTAAATGGATGATGGATAATAATGAAATAGATCACAGCTGTGGATGCATATCCTGGGATGGTCTGAACCTTGTGGTGGGCTCGACAGGAGGTGGACCCCGGGGAAAACCCAGTGGGGCAGTATCGGACGCTGGAATAATTGGCTGTGGGCTTTTCGCCTCAGAGACCCTCGCCTGCGTAATTACTGGACCTACCGACTCCCTAGTTCAACTCAATTTAGCCAGTGAAGTTGTCGACGAGACAGAGGAACTCAACGCCTGTCCTGAGACCGTCTTGAAAAAACACGTAAACTTGTTGAAAGCAGTTGGTGAAGCTGCTGGGGGTATTATTTTGCACTCGAGTGGCTGCACAGGGATCTATTTCACGGCTCCCTGCATGCCTTATGCCGTCGTCAAAGACGAGTGCATTGTGTATGGTTGGGATATGTGTCAGAGGCATTATCGCAAGTACTCTAATGTCGACGGGAAAAATATTTGCAGATGTAACATTGAAATGCAAAACTTCTAGGTGCAAATGCATCGAATTTTACATGAAAATAGGGAAAAACCGTTCTAACGATTCAATAAACAAGTGCTATATTCATCAAATTACTTTATGATCAATCTCTTCAGATTTCAATGTAAAAACAATTTTATTTTCTCACGAACCTTTTAATTTTACAATTTTTTCGTTTTTAGGCAACATAACAATTTATGAGAATTATATATTTTCCTATTATGTAATTACCTTCTACTTTATATGTTATTTAGTATATATACTTATCTACAACAAATATGATTATCCATTTGTTTTTTTCAGAGTTGCCGAGGAAAAAGATCGGCTTGATTGCAAGCTATTCAGTTTCACTGAATGGCAGAGGTACATTGAGTGTCGTCGCACTGTCTTAATAAATTATCACTCTGCTACGAGATTCAAACTCGATCCAGAGGTGCCATCCAGAGACGTCAACGAATATCTGGATTACCTGACGAAATTCGTTGGCCCAGCGAGCCTTGGGAAAAGGCTCCATGGATGGACAGAGAGTATTAATATGAATATGGACAATTTGGCCCAGAATCTACCAGAAACCAAACCCGTGAGGAGTTTCGAGCCGTCGCTGACACCGATGCACTCCTACCTTCAGGAACTCCTGGTGGACGACGAGGTAGACCTTCCGAGTGTTCTCAGGCAGGATTTCACTTGTACTAAGGTTGGCTACATGACTAATACCAACACGTGAGTTTTATTTGACATAAATTTAGTAACGAAATTCTAAAAAGAAGAATTTGAATGGATTTTTAAATGAATAGATTATTCGCAAATTATTGTTTATATAATTGTATCGAATGAAAATGTCTGCCAAATTGACTTGAAATTTCCGTTAATTGTTTGCAGTGTCAAGGAGCTAGCCGATGAATGTGGAATAGACCTCGAAATAGTCGAGAGTTCAGCCAACTTCTTGGAGAGAATTGTGCCAATTTTTGACGAGGCCATGAACTACCCCAAAACTGAAGATCTCTCGAAACTGGTTCCAGTGGTAATTCACACAAGAGGAACCAACCGACTGGATGATCCCCTGGAGTACTTGCACCGAAAGAACGCCGGGAAGATAAACATCGACGAGAAAAAGAAAAAACTCTACGAGAAGAACCTCAAGAATTTACGCCAAGCAAAAAACCAAACCGTCGACGATTACGATGATTTCGCGTTCGACCAAGTCTTCAGCGATGGAAAACTGAACATCGAGGAGTTCGAATACTCCGACTCAGAGGATGAGGATCCACAACTGCTGGGGGATGAAAACCTGTTGCTGTCGAAATTCGAGAGAGAGAGTCTAAAGGGAGGGGGTAAAAGTCATTGGCACATGGTGAGGGTGACGAAGCGTCAGCAACAGGAGGAAGAAAGTTATCTAAATGCCAAGATCAAGAAAAAAACCAAACTGCAGTCCCCCACGTCCTCAAGAAACTGCGACTGCGTCATGTGCGCCATAAACACTTGCCCTGAGCACGACTCAGACCCTGGGCCGAGGGAACCTCACGCCAATCATGAAAATTACGAGAAAGAATCTGAAATCAATGATAGCGATGAATTAACAATTATTGGGGAAGTGCCAACTCCTAGATCGCAGTCTGATGAAGAGATTTCAATCGTCAAAGAGACGAAGAGAGCCAGGAAAAAAGCAGTGGTGTTTCGTCCTTACAGGGACTACTGGCTCCGCAGAAAAGAGCGAAGCACTAATATCAATGGGTCCCTTGTGGAGTGGCACAGGCTTGAGAGGGACTTTCCTGTTAATTTTCGCTGGCTCCTCAACGAGTGTGCAGCCATGATTGAGCTAGAGAGCTCTAGCTTGTATCGGGAACTCTTAACAATGGAGGAGTACTACGCCGACTGCCTCGTTCAGGATTATGATCGTGAAAGGGCTTGCAAGTTCTTTTATGTGTCCAGGCATCGTTTTAGTACGATGGTTGGCACTACCAGGAGTAAGTGGAATAATGTCTACAAGAGGGGCGCGGGGGTGAGGAACGAGTGAAGTGATTTTTACAAAGAGAGCCTAGGGACAATTTTACACTTTTTTTGAATTCGTCTTCTCATGGTCAATGTAGTTTCTACTGTTGAAAATATATTTTTATAAATAAAACTTCGCTGACAATTACTTCCAATTTCACTATTAATCCTTCGATACATAAATTTAAAAGTATTATGTATTTTTGGTCTTTTTTTTCTCACATTTTAGTGACTTTTCGTGAGATCATCTCTCTGTTTTCTCAAAAGGGCCTTCAATTGCCCACAACTCAACTACCAAGAGCACAATCTTATTTGACAGGTCTGTCTTCCATTGTTTTACGAATCTTTTTGCAGTAAAAAAAATATGTAAAAAATTGACTCACCCTCAGATTCAAACTTCCCACAAAAAAGATATCCCTAAATTTCTTGAACCGTTAATTCTAGATGTGCCTACACCTCCCTGACCGAATAACAGTGGGCGACTGAAAAAAACGATTAATAAAAAGGTGAAAAGAAAAGGAACAAGACGAGAGAAAAAAGCCTGAGATTGAAAACACCTGTCAAAAAATTGAACAACTCTCAACTGTTGCGCTAGAAGGCAAAGGTCGCCGGCATTATGGGGGGTGTTGGTTCGTGAGGTTTCGGATGAATTCGGTGTTCGCCCCTGCCTCGCCGACGATGAAGTCGCGGAGGCTTGCGCTTGTGTGTCTCACTGGCTGACACATTTCACTCCAGTCTGTGTCCGAGACACCATCTACGTTGTCCGATTAACAATATCCCCTCTTTCAACAGGGGGTTGAAAATTCAGTGGAGCAACCCCAGCAGCCCCGAGGAGACCTGGAGGCCCTTTAAAAAAATGGCATCACCACTAGCCCCATAGAAAGCCCTCAAGTACACCGTTCAAAACCTCCAAACCACCTCCAAGTACTTTTTGTCTTGTCCCTCGAGCTGAACGACCCCGGCTAGTTTACTCCCCAGTTTTTATCCCCTTATTTACACATATCTGTCTGAATTTTTATGTGCACAAGTGAATACCGTTATGAGAGTGATTTGCAGTGGCAAAGTGACTGACAAATCGTAAACCGAGACATCAAACAACATTCCCTCGATCTTCTATTCCTGGCTCCATCAAACAACTCGCTTCCTGGACATCGGTTGGTGAGTACAAACCCGTCATCCCTCTGTCTCACGTTTCCAAACTATATTCCAATGATAAATAAATATATAGATAAATAATTCCACAGGTTTCAGTTCTGGTTAGGAGCTTTCGGTTGGAAATAATCGTCGATTTGTCTCGAATACTATTGATTTTGGGAGGAAATGTCAAGAGATACTTTTTATCGAAAATTTAATCAGCCACAAAAAATCTATTTGGGTGTTCATGAAAAATCAGTTGTTTTCGAGATGAATGGATTATTAAGTGCTGAAAAAGTTTTGGGATTTTCCAGGGCTTGACCTTGAAATATTAAATGAGGGACAGTTTCTCTGGAATTTCAGTTTTTGAGGGGAAATTCATGAAAATTTTAATGTCAGTTGGATTTTGCTGTAAAAAATTTTGAAAATTACGAAAATTATGAACATTCGTAGAAATTGAGAAATTTGATAATTTTTTCCTTTGAAAAATCAAATCTGTCTTCGAACTGTCATAAAGATTTGACATTTTCTGAATTTTCCTTTTTAAAATGAAAATTCTGCTTTTTTTTTACCAACGGATCTCACTTCACTTTATTTAGCCTTGCATTCCCCTTGTTTGTTGCATCGCATCAGCTGATTTCGAGGAACTGGAGACGAGAGTGCGTTTTTCCAGAGCTCCCCTCGGTGCTCATCCCCATTTTTTCTTGTTTTTCAATGTCTCGTGCACGCGACGTTGATAAATGTCTCGTGTGTGTGACTGCAAGCACTCGAGAGGTGAAATTCAATGAGAATTGCGGCATTTGCCGATGGCGTTTCCCGTTATTTCGTAAATACGTTTTTATTTGGAGATAATTTCTTAATCGGTAGCTTTTTCGTTTTTTTATCCAGTGGATTCTAAAGGAGAGGAAAATCTAGGCAGGGTGAGTCGATATTTCAATAGCGAATTGGTAAAGTCATATAACGGGGATTTATCAGTTTTATTAAATTTCCGCTCATCCTGAAAACGATTGATTTTACAAAGAACCATTAGAATACTTTTTGTTGGAAAATTTAATCACTTAAAAAAAAGTCCTTTGACGTTTCTCCCAAAAATCGATAGTTCTAAAAATAAATGAATATTTGGGAGAAATCGTAAACTCCACTTGTTTTTTGTTTTATTTAATCAAGTTTTTACTACAGATAACCAACATTTGGAATATTTACAAACGATAAAACTCACTATAAACAACAATCCTGATCCTGTGATCAGTATTTTATACAATATCCAGACTATGACCTATAGAGACTCTCGAGTTTTATAATTATTTACAGTATGGGTTATTGTGATATTCCTATTCCATCTTTTTGGTATTTATGCAAATTCCAGGGCAATCCATGTTTTTTTTTTGTGGTTGGATACATTTTTTGTTTGCTGATATGTGAGAAAAAAACTCAACAATATTTGCAGATAAATCAAACTTGTCTCAGTTTATAACTGATTTTATCGAAATTTGTCGGACTGCTGGGATTTTTATTGGGGTGTCAGGATGAAATGACGAACGTGACTCTCTGACTAATGATTCATCATCCCCCAATTTGCTGTCGGTCGACAGCAGACAACACGAGTAGCCAGGGAGTGTCCTGATCGTAACTGTTGAACTTGGCGACGAGGGACACCGTAATTACGTTTGAGGTTTGAACGTAAATGCCCTTTGGTGAGAGGTAAAAAGTCGGAGGGTTGTACTCCGACCCCTTGCGAGTATTTCTGGGGTCAAGTCGAGTCTGACGTTCGTGTTAAAGAGGATGGCACGGTTTTCGGGGATTTTTGCCGAGTGGTAAAGGTCAAAGGGTAGCTTTTAGAGTCGGAAGACCCATCCACAGAATTTCTCTTCACTAAATGCAACGACAGGAAATTTTAATGCAAACGTTGTTGAGGTATTTATCTCAAGGGTATAAGTTTTTTATTTACAAAAATATGCAACCACAAAAAAATAATATTTGGAAAATTCTGGGGTTTGAAGAGATGATGGAGTGGAATAAGTTCAATTCCGCTGTTTTATATCGATAATAATTAATATAAATTATTTTTTCACAGGTAATACCACAAGAGCTTCAAAACTATCGAGTATTTTTCAATAGATTCTCTATTAACAAATGGAGGAGTCGAGTTTATCAGGTGAAAAATTATTTTTCTGAAAAAAATTGACGAGCTCTTTTGTTTGCATGGAACCTAGAGGGAATTACCCGATTAATTTTAGAGCTCGCCCGGCATTCGGGAGATTATTTTTCCATTGAATCTTCGGCCAATAGAATCGCACCATGAAACAAAATTAAAGATCAAAACTTTTCAATTGATACAATAGCATTCTATCTGTCAAATTCAATGGGGGTCACGTGGCCAATCCATTTTGTTATGAAAAATATACCATACCATATGAAAAATTACCACTGAAATTTTCAAAAAGATTATCAGCTGCATTTCATGTTGACTATATAAAAAACAGTAGAATGGTACAATTTTATTGGCTGAAATTTATATGGGAAAATAATCCACCGAATACGACTGGAGCTTCGAAATTAGTCGGATATGTCCTTATTAGCTCTCATACAAACAAACGAGCTTGTTAAATTTTCCAGGTTGAAAAGTTACGAGTGCGAAACGCGAGTGATTTTTCTGGAAAACTTGACACGGTCATTTATTTGGAACGAAACTATCAGGAAGAATTCGATAAGTTCGTAGCTCTCATGGTATTATAAGTGAATATCACATGTTCTAGCCCCTCTAGACAAAATGCATGATTTAAAAAATTTTCCTGGCTAATCATCGATGGGATTGACATGAAAAAATATGACGTTCTTGCGTTGTGTCATTAAATAAACCACAAAACGAGAAAAAGTTATTTTTCACGTAAATCCCATGGTAAGTTTACCAGAAACATAAAAAACCGTAAATTGTGGCAGAAATGTGTAGAATATCGGTAAGAATTCATTTGAGGAGGATGTAGATTTTCTCCTCTGGAATTCTATTCGATCTGTCAATTCTCTGTCCCAATTTATATCCTCGGCTGATCGAAGAGAAACCGAAAATTAAAAGTCAAGTACTTTTTCCCAAACGATAATTCACGAATTCAAGGTGCTCATAGGCCCCTTTGATTCCATTCTGCAATCAATCCCCGGAGAGGTAAACTACGTGATCAAAATGAACAAGCGAAACCCCATGAATTCCTATTCCACTCGTTTTATTTTTCCGAAGGATTTGACGGTGCACTAAAAATAAACCTTACACTCAGATAAAAACTCGACAAAGAATATTAATAAATAATAATAATATTAATATTAAAGAGTATTAATTAATATTAAATGAAGAGGATTTACTTGGTAGAAAAAATAGTCCGTTGCCAATTGAAAAAATTGAAGAATTATATCCGATAAATAATTTTGTCCTGGGCAGTTAATTAGTTTTATGAAGGTTTACAATGATTATATTTTTTTCAAGATAATTCAAGGGCTAATTATCGTTGATTGATCATTACATTTCGTCAAATCCATTTTTTAAGGGGGGGGGGGGGGGTACGTGGAATTTGTTATGATTATCATCTCGCGACCGTTTCTGTAAAAGAGCCCAGATTAAAGCGCAATCTTTTGACAGTATATAATTTCAATTGATTGATTGCATTATGTATGGACTGCTTATATATAACTATATATTTTTCAATCTAAGTATTCTTGATTATGGAAATTTATGCACTTTTTGTAATTATTTCTCGAAAACAAAACGCACAATCAATTTCATGTTTTTTGGCTGCATTTAATGATGCGGCTTCTATTCCAAATAATTTCTATTTGAAAAATTATTGAGCCGTTGATTTTTTAAAAATTCTAATCTGTGACGCTCGGTTTAAACACATGAAACGGACCGCAAATTAAAAAAATTCTATCTCAAGTTCAAAACGGACAATTTCAAACACAAAGTGGTCATTTATCAGAGATTTTTTAAAACTATTTACCATAAACAAAGAAAATTAAACAAGGACTGTCGTGTAGATATTTTACACGACGAAAAGCTTAAAGGATTTTTCTTTTTCTGTGTGCGATAATCAAGTTGTCATTGCGAAACGAAAATTTTAACATTTCTATCCATGTTCGGGTAATAAAAAAAAAACAGAGGTTGCATCGAGGCCGAGTACCACTAAT